GAGAACACTTTGCCGGCCAATCGCCCTAACTGCAAGGAATTCAAGTGTTGAAGCTGTCCAGAATGTGGCCGCGTGTGCACACCGCATGGTTCCTAATTTTGTCCATCCAAAAAGGTTAAGATCACTTTAATAGTAAAGTCCCACTTACAGACTGCAAAGAATTCCCTGTACGGTCCTGAGAACCTTCTAATTGTTCAGCATGGCCTTTTTGGCCGAGGAATGTCGGCGAAGTGTTCTTGGTATGCAATGGCTGGCGCAGAATGAACCAGACAGGGCAGTGCTCTTGTTGGGGCAGGAAGCTCTTCGACATGTCCCTCTTTCAAACCTTGCCTGTGGTGATCAAGGAGAAGTACCACAGCCACTTAGGTTGTCACTCCAGCGAGACAGACGCAGATGATGGCAACAAAGTCCGGCTCTCTTCTGCTGCAGATGCGGCTCTCATCGGGGACGGCGGCGCATAAAAATGGCCAAAACTAGTTACTAGTTTTTACGCCTTTCCATGAACCCCTTAACGCTTCACACGAGCAGTCCGGACATTATAGAAGCGCACAAAGTCCTGTAATTTACAGCACGTCCAAACCTTTTGACAAATTCTATTCCAACTTTCAAGGCCACATGAGACCAATCGAATATCATCCTGATAAATCAACCCACAAGTCGTTTCCCGGATTTTTTGACCCTCAACTTTGCACAACATCAACAAGTCAATGGCCACGAAGTACTGTAAAACGCAATACTCTTGCAACTTTTTGCAAAACTGTGCATGCCCAAAAAACACTGCGATCAACTGGCATCGCGACGCCTAGTAGTAGTAGTAGTAGTATTTCTAGTAGTAGTAGTAGTAGTAGTAGTTGTTGTTGTTGTTGTTGTTGTAGTTGTAATTGTAGTTGTGGTTGTAGTTGTAATTGTAGTTGATGATGAGTAGGGGAGGGTTATGCAGATCATTTGGTTTGCACAATGGGGGATGCGCTGCGCCACCCCAAACCCCCCCGCCTTTGTTACGGCCATCCCTGACTGCCGATTTCCCATCATTTTCAACATCAGGCTTCATACTTTTTTATCGTGTTCATCGTTTTTCCCTTATTGTCATCCTCATCACTTTTCATGACTTTCTACTATCATTTTCATTATTGCTCATTATGTTTCATCATTTGTCATCATTGTTCATCAGTTCTCATGATCTTTCATCACTTTCTTCATTTTTCATCAGCCGCTGAGAGCAGGCATGCGGTGTGGTAGTCATTTAGATGTAGATATTGGCCCTGAAGCAGATGAGCTAGACCCGGCCACCTGCTGAATATTGAAAATCCACATACGAGAAGCATGCACTTGGGAAGTAACCCTCATCTTGGTGATACTTGCGCTGCACATCAAGGTTGCATCTATGTCTTGGCTGGATTCACTTATGAAGGAAGGCAGTCACATCCTTGCCATTTTTGAGAACGTCACCAACATGCTAAACCTTGAAGAAAAAGATTATACTCACATGCAGGCTAGCTAATTGATTCTGGAAGGTTGAGCCCAAAGCTAGCTACTAAGTAGCTTCATGGGATCCACACGGGGTGCAGCTCCAGGCCTAGTGGCGGCTATATACGGATAATGGAACAGACCATGGAACTTCTAGCATTATAATAGTGTGTATGGTAAGTAATATACTATGGTAGTTTCCCTAAATAAGGGGACCCCAATATAGACCCCAATATACTATAGTCCTTATTATGAAGACCCCCAAAAAGGGGACCCCTAATTTTGGGAACCCCCCGTATAGCATAGCATAGTAGCAGCTTTAAACGGACAGCCAGCGTTCAAGGCCCAGCCTGCCCATCATGTGGGCGCAACCCAGAGAGCCAGTACAGATAGCTTTAAAGGGGATGTATAGGGGCTATATAGGGTTATATAGGGTTATGTAGGGTTATATAGGGTTATGTAGGGTAATATAGGCTTATATAGGGTTATATAGGGTTATGTAGGGGTATATAGGTATATATGGGGTTTAGGGCTTAGAGTTTCCCTTTAGACGGTATAGTTACAGGCATAATCCACTCACCCGAGTATTAAGCCCCCCACCCCCCTCATATTACCAACCCCCCATTGCAGTATGTTATAGTATATTGAGAGATTTTGATATTAGGGGAGGGGTGGGGCATTTGATATTGGGGGGAGGGATTTATGAGGATCAGAGTATGTTGGGGTCGAAATTGGGGTTTCTTATTTTGAGACATGACCATATAGGGGTGTATCGTCATCAGCGAGCATAGGGCATAGGGAGAGTGCCATCCCCAATTGAGCTTTGTTAATTTCCTTTGGGACTCCATGCGTGCGTGCTAAGGATAGCATGACCGTGTTCAATAGGCTGGTAGGCTTTATAACACATTATAGGCCCTTAAACCTAAACCCTAAACCCCTAAACCCTACACCCTAAACCCTAAACCCCTAAACCCTAAAACATTAGAAGCCTGGGTTTGGCAATCAGCTGTTCACTCCTTAGGCGGTCTTTCGCCGCTCCACTACGCAGCTTTGCGCGGTGACCGCTTTCTGATTGGAAGCCTGCTGCCAGACTCCAGTTCAGGAAGGTAGATCCTGTTACCAGAATCTGGGTGAACAGTGGCAAGTGTAGTTCCCCATGATGGTGACCCAAGTAATTAAGGTTACCAGTGCCATAGCAGTGACCATCGACCTAAACCTTCGACCGCGCGCTTAGTTCAACAATCCTTCAAAAGCCGCCCAGGCTGGCCCACAAAGCTGTGTCTGGGGCTAATCAAGAAAGACTTCTTTCATATGTTGTCTTGCCATTGAAGGCGCGGACATATGTAGTTCGAAGATTACACTTCCCCCTACAGTCTTTTTTGGAAGTGTGCTTATGGGAGATGTTATGTTTCAACTTATATGGGCTCCAGCGCTATAGCCGCTACAGAACTTGCAGACCGAACTCAGGACCTCCACTGCAAATCGCAAAAGGACATTCCGCAGGTGCGCCTGGATGTGCTTGCTTCTTGCTGCCAGCGTTCATGCATTTTTCGCAACACTTCCCGACACTTACCGCCTGGAGGGATTGCATGATGCCGCAGATTTCCTGCCACATCGGTAGCTTGGCCAGTAGCGATCAAAGACCAGAAAAACACCCAGATGCAAGCTCCCTTTCTACCAGCCACAGGCTCCTCTGCAGTGCATTGGACTGCACACAAAAAGCTTGAGACTTTTGTGTGGGGTGTCCTGGATGGTGAATAGCAAGGAGTCTTGCTCAGTTTCCTATCTCGGTTTACTTTCACATCTTTCTTCCATGGACTTACTTCCTGAGCCAAGCAAAACCTTAAGGTTCTCTGAGTCGTGTTTCAGACCCGGCAGGAAAATCTAGGTCTTCTCTCCGGTTCCACTTTCGAGACATGTGCTTACAAAACCTAGCAGTGCTCTGTGCTGTAAGGCGGGCTGTTCCAGGCTTTGTGGGGGCGCTTGCACTCAAAACAATGGTCAGAATCATGTCAATGGTATGACACGTGGTGTTTTTTCCTCTTTTTTATCTGCCTTCCAGTCCTTTTAGCCTACCTTCAAATTCTTGTATCAAGCCCTTTCACTCCTAAACTCTGAGCTATAAGCACAAGACATGACATATACCTGACACCTTGAAAAGTGACAAACCTGAGCCAGAGACAGGCCTACATCATGCCCGGCCTCTCGCCGCTTGCAGTTGCTCCGCGATTGCAAGGAAGGTTCCCAAAACGCTTAAAGCTTTCACGGGACTGCCAGGATTGCTTTACTCCTAGATATGTTGAGGTCCCCAAGCCCAGGTTGTCCGACCTTCATTGCCATCAATATGGAGTTTCTCAAGATAGGGCTGCCCACAGGAAGCATAGAAGTACACAGGCATGACAGCAAAGTCGTGGGGCAGGGATTACGGCAAAACTTACATGTTCACAGCGACTCCAGTCCTAGATGAAACACCCGCAGCGGTAGAATAAGAATTCGTATGCCAATTCAAGGAAGTCCCAGACTAGCAATATGAGCTATAGTCTAAACTGCCAGTTTCCCCCTTACTAACCCTTACACTACTTCCCTATGTAATCCCCAATGTAACCCCCAGTCAAAACCACCCAAGGCGACAAGGCGCGGCCTCAACAATGCTCCAAGCTGGCCAGCTTGTAAACATGCAAGGGCCAGATCACCCGCAAACTCCTGAATCCAAACCACCAAAAGTGCTAGATTTTTTAAACCTCGACATGCTTTGCCATCCTATAGCCCCAGAAGCGTGAGCCTCAAAACACCTGCGCAGCCACCAAACTTAGCACCCATAAATCGTTGACTGGCTCTAAATTCGTACCGTTACACTTTTTGAATCACGTCGCCCTAGAGTCCAACACCTCAAGTTCTAACCCTAAACATCTGCCAACAGAAGCCGCAACTTATTAAGCACCAAGGCTACAGCCCGCAAATCCTGGAGCACAAGCACCAGGCACCCCTTGCCCCTGACCCAACACACTTAAACGCAACACACTCGTGAGAACCTGAAGCTCTAAGGACCGCAATGAGTAGGCGACAGTACACCCTCCGCCCAGCTATGGGGCACGAAGCTTAGAGGATCTTAGAGGCCTAACAGCTGTAAAGACGGAGCACTTTCAGAATCTTACCACCCAAGTGCCTTGAATGCTAGGGCTTCAAACTATATATACCTTGACCCAACTTCCCCACACCTGACTTCAGGGGTTTGGGGTTTGGGTTCGATGTTTGGGGATCCGATGCATATCTTTTGCCCCTAGGCCCTTATGGTCAAGCACAACGATGCTGCCTGTCTGCTGATCTCAGCAAGGGCTGAGGCGGGGTGGGTTCAGTAATGGTGGTTAGGTGTCACACGGTCAGGGACTACAGGTACTGCATGTCTTAGGAACAATTGACGTCTTCGGGGAGTATAACCAGATCTAGCTGCCGCCGTGGAAGTCTCTGCCGTGCAATTAGCATATGTCGGAACTCCTCTCTGCCTATAAAAATCGAAGTCTGCGCGTGAGGAACGAAAAGTTATAACACTGACCTACACCACTACTTCTGCTGCTGTTGATACAACCGCTAGTAGAGCCAAGGTAGTTGCATTGCAGGCGATAGCAGCGACCAGTGCTGGTGGTGGTGGTAACAGTAGTATAGCGGCCCTGTGGTGGTGCCTTTTCGTTTGACTGCTACCGCTACTGCCGCTGCCGCAGCTGCTACTACTGCTACTTACTTCTCCTCCTGCCCCTACATTACTACCTACAACTGCGACTACCACGACGACTATTGATAGACGTGCGAGCACATCCGCCTTTACTACTCCTGCTGCTGCTGCTGCTACTACGACGACGACGACGACTACTACTACTACTACGACTAATACTACTACTACTACTACTACTACTACTACCACCACCACCACCACCACCACCACCACCACCATTATCCCTCCTACTCAATCAGAGGGGAATCCCCAAACCCCACAAAGCTGAAATGGTGAATCCTTTCGACCTGAACCCCTGAACACTAAGCCCTAGAACTAATAAGTTGCAGGAAACGCTTGGAGGAAAGTTTGATCATCTCTTAGCATTTTCTGGTTTACCTTAGCTGTCCTTTTTTTTGTTTTTTCTCTAGCTTTCACTGTTTTCCTTAGGCTTGCCTTGGAGAAGCTGGGAAAATCCTGTTGTCAGGAAGGAGTGTGTTTTTGAAGCGGGTTGTGATGAGTTCCAATGATTCAAGCATTCAGGGTTTCGGGTGTAGGGATTCGTCATTTTGTACCTGTTAGAAAGTATTAGTTTGATATTGGGTCTAGGGCCTGGGGTCAGGGAAAAGATGGAACAGGACATAGAAAATGCAATGGACACAGGGTCCCACATCATGAGAAGCATGCAGAGCCAAATGGAAAAATACGGTGGAAAATCAACCGGAATTTCGGCTCATTGAAAGGCTTATTGAGCCGCTACACCCTAAACCCTAAGCCGCCTAAGCCCCTCTATAAGCCCTAGTATAGAAATAATTCGCGGTCCCCCAAACCCTAAACCACTAAATTTAGGGTTTAGGGTTCAGGGTTCAGGGCTTAAGGTTAAACCCTAAACTCGAAAACGCATCATGAAGGAGGCCATGAGGATGAAGGAGCCTACGCGATTACCAAGATGATTTCTTTCTGATGCTTATAGTCCCCCTTAAGTGGATAGAATATGGTGTTTAGGGTTTAGGGTTATAGGTTATAATCCCTTTTAAGTAGATAGAATACTGCTGCTGCTACTGCTGCTACTGCTGCTGCTGCTACTACTACTACTACTGCTACTACTACTACTACTACTACTACTACTACTGCTACTGCGACTACTACTACTACTACTACTACTACTACTACTTCTACTGCAGCGACGGCTACTTCCGACATCTGCTGCCCCTTTGAAGCACTATTGCTCGAGACGCACCCTTGACGCTACGCCACTCCTGCTCCTCCGCCTCCTCCTCCTCCTTGTCTGAATCTTCTGTGGGGATACCCTGTAAGCCCGGTGAGGTCAGTTCTTATGAGATGCAGAGTGCAAGTGGCGCTGACAACGCAGAAGGCATCAGCCTGCTCTGCCAGGCAAGTGTACCACCAAGCTGCAACGTAGGGTTTGAGGCATCGCACAAGGGGAATGCTACCCATAGCCAAGGCCACAGCACTGTGACGTCTGTCGCGGAGTAGTCATCAGTTATCCGGTAAAACTGATGCCATTTGGCGGCTTAGAGTTGCTGCAAGAGGGGCTCCCGAGAAAAGCCTTCGGTTCACGTTGGTTAACTTGGAGGTCTGGTTTCAGGGCTCCAAGGTTCAGGGTCAAATCCAAAAAGCCGTCATGCATGGCCCTAAACGCAACAGCTTGAGAATGTGAGGGTGTCCATGCACCTAGTCTTAAGGGTGCCTTTGCTGGCACTGAGGATGCTCCATGTCTGGAAGCTTTCTGCAAGCTCAGCCTTGCGTTCATGTGGCACGCTTTGACTGGAAGATCTGTCCCAAACCCTAGATATCTGCACTATTATCCCTTTTGGATACCGTATAAATGTGAGGTATGTTGTAGCAGTTAGCAAGATCTTCTTCTAATCGCTGAGCGAATGCAGCCCTTTGAAACCGTATACCCTTGAGCAATGAGCCACCAACGGCAGGCAGGATGTAGTCCGCATCAACGTGGCCGCTTTGGTGTCCCCGCGATTCTCTGTGCCGCACAATGGTGCTACCTGCCAATTTCCTATGATTCCGGGCTCCAGGGTTCGGGGATGAGTGTCGAGGATGAACATGAAAAGGATTCCGTAGGGTTCAGGATTTTTGGAGCCTGCTTTGCGCAAACGGCTTTCTATTGATGTCTATGCTTGTGTGCAGCGAGATTTTGCTAGCCATCACGTGCGTCTCAGACAATCTTCTAGCGTGCGACCGCAGGTGCGCTTTGGACTCCATGGGCGAGCTAAACTGTCTGTCAGACCGCACCATTGACATCAGCCAAGCGCTTTTCTATGTCATTATCAGTTCCTCGTACTGGCGCAGGTATACTTTCCCATTTTTGGCTTTTCAAAAAATCTCTAAGAAAGTCAGTCGTGGTGGGGCTGAAATCAGTCGAGGGTCGAGGGATGCAAGGTTTGGGGTCTAGGAGGTGTAAGGCTGGGCTTCATACAGGTGTGCATGATCCCAAACTATCCCCAACCCCTGCCCTAGCTCCGTACCCCCAAGCCTGAAAACGGAAATCTGTAGACTGTTGCTGGCCTGAATCTGCGGAACCTGTGTTTTAGTAGTTAGGCTTTTACTGATATTTAACAATCTTCATGACCCTAGTATGCTCAAATCCCCCTAAACCCTAAGCCCTAAGCCCTAAACCCACTAAAATTCCCAACGTTTAGGGTATTTCGGGGGCCTGAGACCTGGCAGGAGGATGTACAGAGGGATCACAAGGTACTTTCATTCGAGAATATGCCTTCGATCATATGAGCCATAGTCTAAACTCCTTAAGGGAGGTTATATAGGGGTGTATGCGGGGGAGTATCATAGTGGTGATAAGGGGGATACCAAGAGTTTAGACCATATAGCTCATATCAGGGGTCCTGGTATCACTTGCGACATGGTCCTTAAAAAAGGAGTAGCGGCTCTCGAGGATGTTTGGGATACACAAGGGTTTTGGGTTTAAGGCGGGCATTTGAGTGCTATGCGGTGGGATAGCATTACTGCGGTAGTAGTAGTTCTCGTAGAGACTGTAATGATGTCGTAGTCAGATTCATGCTTAGATGCAGTTGAGCAATCCTATCGCCCTTCAATGTCTCCACTTCTGTGTGCAGTTCAGATGCGCGGTTAATCCTCCGAAGGGGCGGGGGACCTTCACATTTGTACGGGACTAGACGCCTTCAGGCTTTATGTGAAGGCTTGGATTGTGCTAGGAAGCTTTCCAGATTGGAAGGGTTGTAGCTGAGCTGAGGCTCAAGATGCCGCGCAGAAGCTGTGCAATGGTTGATCGAAGCGAAAGCTGATGTCGACGTCACGTACCAGAGTCCTCCATTTCTGTCTATCTATGGACTCTTCCACGCTTTCATGGACATGCAGCACCGGCTGGGCAGAATCTCACCTTGCTCAAGCGTGTGTTTTCATACAGAAGGTCGGACTCCGTTGATGACGGCTGCGATGTTGGGGCAGTACGAATCTGCTGCTGTTCTGATCGCAGCAGGAGCGAAGCTAGCTGCTTGCACTGCGCGTGGTCTCTCAGCCGCTGACTTTGCACGCGGACAGTCTGTGCCAGAGTTCCTGACACAGGCGTTTGAGGGCAATCTCAATGGCTGCCGCCGAGTTGCTGCGCTGGCAATTGACACTAGCAAACTTGTGGAGGAGCGGTTTTGACAGAGTTTTAATCTGGCGCTGGAGCTACGGGATCAAGTCTTTCAAAGGTAACTTACACTCCGCAGTTTCACCCCCGTGCTCCTTGTAGGCGTGTAAGATATTTCTGTCGCGAGGAAGGCTCGCTGTGTCGCTCACAGCCATTTGGCTGTCGTCTGCTTGAGACTTGATGGCTGTGGTCAGACGAATAAGTGCCCAGACCTTCAAAAGCAAACGTGCATATCCCCAAACTCTTCCAGTCAAGCTAAGCTAGCGGTCTAGTTGCAAGTTTGTTTGGTTTTTGTTGTGGGTCTTGGGTATGCTGCAAGAAGATCTGAACCGAGGAGGCCTCAAAAGGCTCCAAGCTTCCGACTTGCAGGCTTCTGGCGTTGAAAACGGATGGTTGGCAGTAGGCTTCAGTCAAAGATCCACAGTGCCGTCCCTCCCCCTTTCCACACTGTGCGCATGTGTTCTTTGATATGACTTACTTGCCAGCATTCCTACTCACATGGAAGATGTTGCTGCCAAACGCGGTACCGCTACGGCAGATATGAGTAATCACAGAGAATTCAGTCCAGAGCTAGAGAGGGAGGCAGAGGCGGAGAGGGCGAGAGAGAGAGAGAGGGAGATGCGGACGCGCGGAAACAACAGAACCCTTTGAAATATCCTTGAAATATGCAGTGAATTGGCTTTCATATTGGGCGCAGCGTCATGAGGCGCCACAGGCACAGACATGCGCTGAGCCGCGTGCGGTAAACCTTTCAGAATTCGACTCATCGAGTGCATTTTCCACCAAGCGCAGATCCTTTAAACTTTAAACCCTTCAGAAAAATCGTTGCTCAAATAGCCTTGGGTGCTGATTTGGCATGTGCCTCTGAAGTTTGAGAAGCGCACAAAGCCATAAGCCATTTGTCTTTGCAGAAAAAGGTGTAGCTAAGGATGAACAAGCACCATGTACAAAGCACCTTCATGGCACAGGGACATTGAGTTTTGCCAGTCTTGCTGACTTTGCAACATGAAGTGATGGTTGTTTTTTGCTGACTTGTTGCCTCATCTAGCTAACAGCAGCGCCGCACAGGTGCAGCCAAGAAATGCAGACACCATGTAAACGCTGCATGCGGCATATTGTGACCATGCGTGAATCGTCAAGGACGTCGATGCGAAGGAAGCTGCTGCGAGCGCAAGCGAATGTTTGCACACCATCTCTAGCAACGCTCACCGATTTTGCGATTGGATCACGATTCCAGAAGATCGAAATGCATGAGCCCTTAGCCATGGTTTCGCCTGGAAGCCGCTTCCTTCAGTGCAACGGCAGCCTTCCGAGCAACAGAACAAGTTGGGGGCGGGCGCCAGCATTATTCAGGAGATGTCGCATGGGAATGGTACAGTAGTGTTATTGCCCTGCAAAAGATGTTGTGCCCAGTAAAAGGCCCGCCTGAGGCACCAGCGGTGTTGTCTGCATAAGCGGTCACAGGCGCACCGTCTGGTTGAGGTGGTCACTGATGCTCTGGGATGCCTCCCACCTTGAAAGAGCACGCATTCCCGCAGGGTTCTGCTTGCATATCGCGTTTGTCTGCCCTCTTGTCAGCTTCTCTGCAGCAATCCCTTCTTTGATATGTTTGGCCAAGGTCGCGAGTGTGATCGTGGAGTTTCCAAGCTCAGCGATGGCCCGTGCATCATGCACACAAACCGTGCAGCACCCCGGTTTTCGCCGGCACACACCTTTCAACAGGGTTGCGCACAACATCTTATGGTCCGTAAATTGCAGGCAACACTTGCCAAACAATTAGGCTGCCAGAAGTGCGCGTGGCCTGTCAACATATGGTCCGCCACATCAACCTGCGCAACATCGCTGTTTACCGGCTTGGATAAAGCACGCTTGTACACTGCGCGTTTTGTCTCTATCAGCAAACGGTGCGGAAGCTTGGGAGCGTGCCATTTTGATAAACCAAGTTGGCCATCCAATCACAGGTTCTGATTTCTTGTTGTGTTGGGGAGGCATATGTTGCAAAGGTGGCAATGTCCAGCCGCAGAGTTCGCAAGCTCTTTGTAATTAATAATGTTGAAGCTGTGCGATACCGTGCGGCTGTGGTGCCCAATTTTTTAGAGGGCTTCCCACCTTGAGCAACCACGCATCAAGCTTGAGCTGCAAATCCAGCAATGAAACAGCACGGCTCCTGAAAAAACAGTCCAACAGCATAATCGTAATGCGAACTAGCGGGGCCAAGATATACGATGCCATAGAGTCAAGTACTATTGCGAAGCTTCAGGCCCGGAAATTACAATCTGTCGGCTTGGCAAGGCTCAGCCGCAACAGATGTATTATGTGACGCCCAGGTATTTTGTAGGCCGCTCTGGGCCAAAAACAGTTGTAAAATCAATTGCTCCGCCAAAAAGTCAACAGCCTGGAAATTGTAGTGTCCGACACAGCTGCGAAAGCTCGCTCGAAACTGCAGCGACCAGGCAGAATTGCAACTGTGAGGAAAAGCGATGGAAGAAGGGGAGGTGACAAGGCAAAATACGATACATAAGGAGGAACAGCGAAGGTGGCACAGTCCTGTTTTTCTTCCGTGTGGCCATGCATTTCTCAACATAAGCAGCCTGCAATGCATGGGTATACGGCTTTTTCTCGCAAGCATAGGTGGCACTATGGAGCATGCGAATCCATGTCGTGATATCATAGCATGACATGGCCTTTCGCCGGCTCAAGTATTCATTTCCTCCGCTTCATGCTGGGATTTCAGAGCGGCATGACGTCTGAGACACTTTCTTGCACAGCCCTGGGGCTGCAAAGAGAAGGTAGTGATGCCACGCCAACGTTGAAGGCTAATTTTGCCTGCCCGGCGATCTTGCTTGTTTGCTTCAACGACTTCACTCTGGCCATGGCGCACCGCTGAGCCCTGTTTTGGTGTCATTCTTTTGTGACAGCCTGGCGTGTGCTGGATCGATACGTTCAAATGACCAATGATTGGGCAGACTTGCAGCCCCTCTTGTTCTTGCCTGTGATGTTAACTGCCCAGGCAGTGAATTGGCTGAGACGCCTGTTTGGGTTCGAAAAAGGTTTATGTACACCTATATAACGGGTTGGGCGCCGCGCGCTTGTCCAGGGCAGGCCTTGTCACGCACAGGGTTTGTTCCTCACAGTTGCGCACACGTTCCTGCGATACACCCGATGAGGTGAGTGCATCTCTGCTATGTTTTTTTGTGCACGACCCTCGCTTTGGTCTTTTCACCCTGCGTGCGGCCAACGATGCTGTCATCACATGTCACCACTGCAAATACGTCTTTTCTTCAAACCCGCTTCCTGGGAGTGGAAAAAAATGAACCCTATGTTCCAGGAAGCTGGGGGAGCAACACACACAATCGACAGAATGGCTGCCGCAAAATTAGCCCATGTCTCTTCACTGCACGGCGCTGCTAACGTAAATAGGCCAGTGGTGGAGCTCATTAAATTCCGTGGCGAGGACGGGTTCCTAAATGCGCTTGTGCTCAGCCGTGCCAGGGCACGCTAGGTTCGCATTGTGCGGATCTGCGGCCCGTTTGTTTTGGTTGCTGTTCTGTCGACATACATTGTGCGTTTAAAGAATTCCACTGGTCCAAAATCATCTTTGGTTTCGGGATGGACAAGCTCCTTATAGCGAAAAGCGCATTGCAAGCCATGCTCACATTTTTTCACCTTGGATTCTTGTGTGCGTTGGAATTGGGCTCTGCGCCGGGATTTTCCTTGGACCCGTTTGCATGTGCAAGTGCCCTTTGACAGCCGGAAAACAACGTGTCAAAAAAAACTTGGACCGTGTACCCGCACAGCTTCTAATTACACCAGAGACTTCCCAGCGGGGTGGCTGGACAATGAACAGCCTCGGGGGGCAGCACATTACTTCGGACTGTTGCACCTGCACAACTCTCTGCCCCGTCCGGCTTAAAACCTCCCTAACCTGCGGTTCCGTTCCGCCCGCGTCGCCGCCTCAGCCTCATGGGCGGGCTAGCAGGCGGCTGTGGCGAGCATCCGCCAACACTTCAGCCAAAGGCGGCTCGGTGCCATCGCGCTCGTCCGCCATATCAAGGCCAAGGCTCGCTGGGCGGCCACAGCCAACATTCCCGCCCAGCGGTGGCTTGCGGACTGACGCGCTGTCGCCCGGAGTCGCACAGGAGCTGCAGGCGCATTGGAGGCCGCCAGGCGGAGGAAGTCCGTCAGGCGAGGACGGCGAGCCAGCAGCAGCCTGCCTTGTGGCGGGTGTTGGGCCCGCGGGGCGCGCGGCCGCTGCGCAAAACTGGGTGAGGCGGTGGCGGGAAGCGTGGGCCTTAGCAGTGGCAATTCAGCTGGCGACGTGCAGCACAGTCATTGGCGTCTGGACACTGCGCGTGTTGCCCAACGCAGAAGGAGAATTCACGGGGAAAGGCAACACCGTGGTCGAGGCTTTGACATGTGGCTAGTTCGAACGGGATGTCCTCAGGGCCAACGACTCCATGACAGATGCGGGAAAGATCGGCCGGAAAACAGCAGAGGGGGGGGGATAGATACATGGCAAATTTGGAAACCCGTGGTCCTTTGCAAAATGACCGCATGTTGATTTGGTGGGGGAGCAGCGAGCTCACGAACCGAGGGGTCAAACCCCCGGCCAGCATCAAAACTTTGGTTCAATTTTCAAGCGGGGTGGCAAGGAAGGTTCCGTTGTTGGTTCTTGGACCGGAATGGCGCTGGCGAAACGGATTTTGTCTCCGGGCTGCTATATATACACAGTTGTTTCTACGCCAGGTTATTTGTTATTCTGTGGGGGCAAGTCCGAGCAGTGAGCTCACACCAAGGAATTTTGGTCAAATTGATTTATTGCTGATTTCGCATGATTGGTTTCCACATGTTTCGCAGCTGTTTTCTTGCATGGAGTTGCCACTGGCTACACACCACTTTCTGTCATAATAGGCCGATTCTTCCGCGG